AAGTAGAAGCAGAAAGAATGGAATTCTGATGGTCCAGCTATTCTCAACTCCAATTTTGTTTCTTAATATAAACAATGAATAACTCCTAACTTGGCATGTCAGCCACCCACACTCTGCTATCTGATATTTTAGCAGAGGTACCATTTCCTTTAAAGATCTCTTTTCCCCCTACAATGTGTCAGGCTGCCATCTTCAACATACTGTTTTCATAATGCTTTTCCTTAAAACCAATTGACCAAATTGTTAAAGAAAATTTTGGGGAAAAGATGTAGGCTCTCAAAATTCAGTTCTTGAAAATCAGAGCTGGAAGTAAAGACAGTTAACTTGGAGTAATGGTAGGAGACTCACACAGAAGCACAAGGGGTAGTGGCTGGAGGAGAAGGCAACTGGAAGAGGGCAAAGAAAAGTGACCTGATACGCACAGAACCTGCCTGAGTTTCTAGAAGTTAACTCCTCCTGCTCAAGGAAGGCACTCTATTTTGGTGCAGAATTTCTAGAAGTTTCTAGAAGTTAACCCCTCCTGCTCAAGGAAGGCACTCTATTTTGGTGCAGAATCACCGCTATTTTATATTTATAAGCATAGCCTTCTGATTATATTCATACAAACTAGAGAATCACTTCCAAAGAGTTCATATGCCAAAACAGAGATAGGCAGCATAATTCACTGCCAATAATAAAAAAAAAAAACAAAAAACTCAGATCAGCAACACTGTGGAAGCAAAATCCAAATAAAATAAACCGAGGGGGTTTCCTCTGCTGACCTGGAATCACAAATTATATTTCGTATCCCACACAGAGAGACTTTTCCCTGTACAGTCCCAGAGATGAAGCTGAAGTGTCAGCTTCAATATGAGAATTTAATTCTACATTTCCTTCGGCGGATCACTAATTCCAAGGTTCAGCATGCCTAAATGTTCTGTGGTTGAGTAGATTTTAGTGGTCTTTAAGAGATTACCTCAAATGCAACAGCCTCTCAATATGAGACCAGAAATATTTTGAAAGAAAAGAAAAACACTCTCTACTTCTTTATAATTTAGCTTTCAAGAACTTAAAATTATTTTAGAACATATTTTTGTATCAAAATCGTGCCAGCTTTCAGGCATGGGAGATGTCCTCTTCTTGTTTTGCAGACAATGTGTCACCAGTCAAATATTTACTGGATCCTGAGTCATGCACAGCAATGTGCAAAGGCAGCTGGAGAACACGATAAAGACGGAACAGCTGCCTGCCCTCAGTAGACTTCCAGTTTAATTGGAAGCCCTTTGTTTCACATATTCTTCTAATTGTTATTATTTTACCTCTTCTGGACATACAATTGTTTGACATACAATCAAACAACAGAAGAATCTCATCAACTGACTCATCTCAATTTTGTAGGATGACTTCAATCACTGATCAATGGAACTTACTATCTGTATTGCAACTTTTTTTTTTTTCTTTTTGAGACAGAGTCTTGCTCTGTTGCCCAAGCTGGAGTGACACGATGCCATTATAGTTCACTGCAGCCTTGAACTCCTGGGCTTAAGGGATCTTCCCACTTCAGCCTCCAGCGTAGCTGGGATTACAGGCATGTGTCACGACACCCAGCTGATTTTTTCTTATTTTTTTGTAGACATGGGGGTCTCACCATGTTGCCCAGGCTGGTCTCAAACTCCTGGCCTCAAGTGATCGTCTTGTCTTGGCATCTCAAAGTGCTGGGATGATAGGCGTGAACCACTGCACCTGGTCTGCGTTGCAACTTTTTACATGAAGTTGCCTAAGGATGTTTATTTTGTAAGATGAGGGACACAAATTCCTAGTAAAGGGGACATGAGCGAAGCCAAAATCCATGAGCTGAAGCAAAGGAGAGGGGGAGGGCTGAGCAGTGGCAAGTTAGGTCAGAAAGGAGGTAACAGGCAGGAGTGGGGTTGAGAAGAGAGGAAAAAGCATTCATTCCAAGTGAAGAAGGTAATAGATGCAAAGACACGAAGTGAGAATGAGCCAGCTGTGTGAGACGGCTGGGAAGCCGAGTGGGCTAGCTGTTCTCTTTGCTTTGGCGAAGATAAAGTTGTGGGGAGACGCATTCACACTGAACTTTAAAGTGTAGGAAACAGAAAGTGTTCTGTCCCCTTCGGAGAGTGTCCCATTTTCCACTCAGGCCACAGCCCTGACTCGGCGATCCTCCTTCAATGGGCACTTATGTTCTCGCCAGGAAGGGCAGCCCTTGCTAAATGTTATGGTTTGGAAGGATCCTTCACAAGGATGGAAAACCAAGTTAATTCAATTAAGGCCCGGGGTCCTGGGCTTTGAACCAGCCACAGTCTCAATTTTATGAGAGGATGAAAAGTTAATTATTTGTCGAGTTTGAGTGAAGTCTACTTTGAAAATCGCTTTCCAAAAGAGTAATTTCCACATCAGCTTCCCTGTGGAAAATCAAGGCAGGTTGAACCAGGGTCATAAAGCGAACCTCAGGAACTGGGTCTTCAGATGGGGTCCAGCACCCAGCAGCTCGCCTGTCTCCAAACCACATTCGAAGGGCTGGGTGGTGTCTGGGAGATGTCTGAAGCCTCTATGTGCCCCCACAGGCTACTTTGAAAAACAGAAAATAAACTATAAGTTGAATTCAGGAAGTCAAGGTTTTTAGGGTGCTTTTTTTTTTGGATGGCGTCTCACTCTGTTGCCCAGGTTGGAGTGCAGTGGTGCAACCTTGGTTCACTGCAACCTCCACCTCCCAGGTTCAAGCAATTCTCCAGCCTCAGCCTCCTGAGTAGTTGGGATATACCACCACGCCTGGTTAATTTTTGTATTTCTAATAGAGACAGGGTTTTGCCATGTTGGCCAGGCTGGTCTCAAATTCCTGACCTCAGCTGATCCGCCTGGGGAAGTTTTAATAGTTCATTGGATGGAGGGTTTTACTTCCCAACCAGCAGCTTCCTGGCCTTTAATGTTATTGTTTTATTTAACTTTAACATTTTAACTTTAAAAATTACGTACACATATGTACGTATGTTGATGTAAAAACAATAAAACGATTCTTCTGGCCTGGCGTGGTGTCTCACGCCTGTAATCCCAGCACTTTGGGAGGCTGAGGTGGGTGGATTATTTGAGGCTGGAAGTTTGAGAATCGCCTGAGGAACATGGTGAAACCCTGTCTCTACTAAAAAATACAAAAAAATAGCCAGGTGCGGTGGTGCACACCTGTAGTTCCAGCTACTCAGGAGGCTGAGACAGGAAGATCACTTGAACCCAGAAGGGAGAGGCTGCAGTGAGCTGAGATCACAACACTACACTCCAGCTTGGGCAACAGAGCCAGACCTTGTCTCAATCAATCAATCAATCAATCAAACAATTGTTCTGATATACAAAATATAAAGATAAATCATTTATAAGCCCACTGGCCAGATTAAATAGTTACTTTTCTGGCTTCTTTTTGCTTTTTGCAGTAATTTATTATACCAGAGACTTATTTCCATATAAATTGGGATAGCATACGGATAAAGTGCATGAGTTCTAGGAAAAGAAAAAGAAAAACCTTTGAGTTAATTCAGAAAACTTCTCAATGCTTTTAGCCCCAGTAAAACTACAACCAGTCTCTGGCATGCTCTGTGTCTTCAATACAATATTCTCTGTAAGGCTTTTAGTACCGAAACACAGTGTTTTTGTCTTTGCATCAATTAATGTCGATTTGCGTTTTCCTTTTTAATAACAGCTAACTATTCCTTTGTAGTTATGGATATACCAGGCTTTGTTTTAGTTTGTCCTTGATGGACGTTTAGATTGTTTCTGATTTCTCATTATCATGCATGGATCTGCAATACATATTCTGTACATACAACTTTCACAGCTTTGGTGTTGATGGAGGAAATTGGAAAGAAATGTTTTCTGAGAATAAGAAACATCATTTGTGCCCCTTCCCCCTCAAAAAAGGGATTTTAACCTTACTAATAAATGTGTCTGGATAATTCCTGGGAATATGCTAGAAATGCTATTATAGGACCTAGATCAAAGGAAAAGAACAGTTTCGTTTTTTGTGATAGAGTTTTGCTCTCTCGCACAGGCTGGAGTGCAATGGCGCAGTCTTGGCTCACTGGAACCTCTGACTCCTGGGTTCAAGCCTCAGCCTCCCGAGTAGCTGGGATTACAGGCACCTGCCACCATGCTCAGCTAATTTTTGTATTTTCAATAGAGACAGGTTTTCACCACATTGGCCAGGCTGGTCTCGAACTCCTGACTTCAGGTGATCCACCGCCTCCGCCTCCCAAAGTGTTGTGATTACAGGGGTGAGCCACTGTGCCCGGCCAAAAAGAACATTTTCAAGTCAACATCTCCTGGCAACAAGAGTGGACTTAAAATAAGGAGAATCCAGTTCTAGCTCTGCTTTAAGTTTTTCATCAACCCCAAAGAAATGACAAAATCTCTAGGCCTGCTTTCTCTTTTGTAGAAAGAAATTGAGTGAAGCGAACTAGAAGTTTCTTTCCAAATCACTGTGGAATTTATACTCCTTGCCATCAATGTTATGACAAACCTAAGTCCTAAAAAAACTCTGGGCGAGGCCTAAAGGATTATATGATAATTTATGTCATTGCATTCAATTCTAGTGAAATGAGACAAAATGAAATGCAAAATGCAAGTCTTTTTTTTTTTTTTTTTTTTGATCCCTATGCTGAACCCTGGTCAACTGATGCTGCATTCCATAGCAGAACATATCTATGATAGAAGTTCATAAAAAAAGAAAAGTACTTAGAAACATCTAGCCAACAAATTATTGAATCTTACCACATACAAGAAGGATTTCAAAGAGCTGTGGGGGCATTATGAAGCTAAAAGATGATTTCTTTCCTTAAAATTGCCACCATGTGGTAGAAGAGAAAATGCATGCCCATAAAAAGATCTCTGGAAATAGAAAGGTTGAGTAGTTACGATTTTGTACCCTATCTTGTTTCAAAAAAGGACTTAAAGAGACTTCAGAAAGTTGTATATACTAGCCAAAAGGCATTAAAATAAGTTAGAAAAAATAATACAAAATGACAAGTATGGGTGTGAGATTAAGATAGGAATAATGTTTGTGCACCCAATTCATTCAACAAAATGCTACACGTCACATCTTTACGAATTCTTCCATTCAATCCAGAGAGAGAGAGGAAGAGAGAGAGAAAGAGAGAGAGACAGACATTAGACATATTGATTAATTACAACAACCAAAATCACCGTAATAACAGAGAACACTTATATAGGGTTTACTATGTGATGTGGCAGTCAACATTTTAAGAATTTTTCATAGAGATTAATTCATTTAACCTCATGATAAACTACAAAGAAAGTACTGTTATTATCCCCAACCTACCAGGGGAGTGACAGGCACAGATTGGTCAAGTAACTTACCCAGGGTCACCCAGCTGGGAAGTCACAGAGTTAGGATTCAATTCCAAGCAGCTTTCCAAGTCTCTAAACCTGAAGTATCACAAAACTCTTCTCATATTGCCTCCCAGGTTATGAAACCAAGGAAGGGGGTTTTTCATTTTTGTTTTATTTCTTATGCTTTCACAAATGCTCCAGTTTCTCTGGAAGCAAATATGTCAATATATTTTTTACAATAAAAAAATTAATTTATTTTTTATAAAAACAAGGAAGGATAAGCTTTGGGCCTATTCACCACAAGAAACAGGAGAGGCAGTCACCTGTGATGGCAGGGGGAATTAAAAAGGCTTCCTGGATGAGGTAAATCGTAAAGGACAGGTAAGGCTGAGAAAGAAAGAATGGGGGAAACAGGAATTATAGGTAGACTAGCATATTTTTCAAGAGCAAAATTGAGCTCCTGAGCAAAAGTCACATGACAATTCAGCTCAATCAGCATACAACCCAAAGACGTTGACCTTCCTGTACCGATAGATCAAAGAGAGAAAAATTAATTCGAAGAACCACACATTTTCCTTGCATGTATTTTCGTATGTCCGCCAAGCCTCCAATGCCCTTTCGGGAAAATGGACACCATTGAGGCCTGTGTGCTGTCTTCTTTTTTCCCTTTGTTTTTCTTCTCATTCATGCATTCCTAAAGTCACAAATCCATGACTCAGGTGAAAATGACATAGCAGCAAAGGGAGGAGTTGAGGACTGGGAGACAGAAAAAGAGGTAAAGGCAATTAGTCTTTGGGTCCTATTCCTCGGTGATTCCTGCCATGACACCAAATTGCAAAGATGCAAAAACCCACTCTCATTAATAGCCTGGTGACAGATATGAGAAAGGTCACCCAACTGAAGCCACTGGAGGTTCCTTGTCTCTATGAATCCCAGGCAAACCAGAAAGGCCCTGCTAGCAGATATTTTCAGAACATTCATTCACTTCAAAATCAGATCAGTGAAAGGTTGAGAATATTCTCTGGGAAATCTGGTCCGCCTTTAAGCTGAGGGTTCTAAATGCAGTCATTCACTCAGTGATTAAGGAGAATAATTATCTCTTCTCTTTATTCTGCCACAGAGAATTGCTAGAGGCCAAGAACCGATTAGTGCTGGCTAACAATTCCCACTCTACCCCTCCCACATCTCCCTGCACCCAATGGCTCCCAAATGAAAACCGGCAAAATATTTTTCAGCTGAACTAATTCATGAAGCAATAAAACTAGCAGCCTTACTTGCCATTCACCATTTGGGATTTAAAAACTCAAGAACAGGAGATTAGACAGTGTCTTGGCTTTATATGCTGTTACTACAATTAAATAAACAGCCCCCTGTGTGAATTAATCGCCTTGGTGCAGGTAAACGAGCGCAAGAATCTAGGCGAGATTTTGAAAAATGTTTAGACTGATTTAGATCGACTAGGAATTGCTAATGGTTTTTATAGCTAATACTTTCAACTCCCTCCATCCAAAGTAAACACACACACACACACACTCACAACTCAGGAAAGCAATGGTTGAGTTTCAGTTGTGCAACCTTGCTCTTGCAAAATGAAGTTTTTTGTCTCTGGCATGTCAACATCCCAACGTGGCTCACTAGACACAAAGACTAACATGAGGATGAGAGCCTTTTTTTCAAAATTGAAGGCATATGTTTTACAACCCACCTGGTGTTCATTTTATCATAAGATCTCGGACCAGAGCCTTCAAGTGATTGTCAAGTAGCAATTGAAATAAAACATCAATGTGATATAATGACTGCAATTTACATGAAGATAGTCAGAGAATCTTAGTCCCATGAAAATCTCCACCCTAAAACAGAGAGGTTCAAACTATAAACTCTAGATGTTTTTTAAAGACTCCCTTAAGATGGTGAAGAGACAGAATTAAAGAAAAGCTCTCTCTCTCTCTGTGTGTGTGTGTGTGTGTGTGTGTGTGTGTGTGTGTGTAAAGCCAATCATATTAATTTTAAAAAATAAATTTTCCCAGCTTCATTAAGGTATAGTTGACAAATAAAAATTGTGTATATTTGTGGTGTCCAATATGATGTTTTGACAGATACCTATATTGTGAAATGATGAATTCAAGCTAATTAACAAATAAAACCTCAATATCATTTTTGTGTGTGTGGTGACAAGACTTCAGATCTACGCTCCTTGCAATTTTCAAGTATACAACACAACAACAGTATAGTTGTTGCTGGAGAGAGTCCCAACTCAGACTCCAAGAGAGGGTTCTTGGATCTCGAGCAGGAAAGAATTCAGGGCGAGTCCAAGAAGTAAAGCAAAAGCAAGTTTATTAGGAAAATAAAGAAATGAAAGAATGGCTACTCCACAGACAGGGAAGCACCATGGGCTGCTGGTTGGCTCTTTTCATGGTTATTTCTTGATTATATGCTAAGCAAGGGGTGGATTATTTATTAGTTTTCTGGGAAAGAAGTAGGCAACACTCAGAACTGAGGGAAACACCCACCCTCGCATTTTTAGACCACATAGGGTCACTTCCAGATATTGCCATGGCATCTGTAAACTGTCATGGCGCTGTAGGGGTGTCTTTTAGCAAGCTAATGCATTATAATTCACATATAATGAGCAGTGAGGACAACAAGAGGTTGCTTTCCTTGACATCTTGGATTTGGTGGGTTTTGGCTGGCTTCTTTACCGCATCCTGTTTTATCAGCAGGGTATTTGTGATCTGGATCTTGTGTTGACCTCCTGTTTCATCCTCTGACTAGGAATGCCTAACCTGCTGGGAATGCAGCCCAACAGGTCTCATTCTACCCAGCCCCTGTTCAAGAGGGAACCTCCAACAGGAACCCCTGTTCATTCTGGTTCCAACGCCTCTGACACAGTCATCATGTCATACAGTAGACCCCTAGAGCTTATTCATCCTGTCTAACTTGACCTTTGTACCCTTTGACCAACATACATGTATTCCCACCACATCAATTTGTTTTTATTAAAAAGTAACATGAAAGAAAAATTATACCCACTCCTTATGGGAAAAAACGTGCAGACGCACTGCCCTGCAGAGGTGGCCTGATGATCCCAGCAAAGAGACTGGTGGCGCTGAATTCAATTAGCTTCACTCTTGCAAGAAATTTTCCCAGCTTTATTAAGATATAGTTGACAAATAAAAATTGTGTATATTTATGGTGTCCAACATGATGTTTTGATAGATGCATATATTGTGAAATGATTAATTCAAGCTAATTAACAAATAAAACCTTAATATCATTTTTGTGTGTGTGGTGACAAGACTTCAGATCTATGCTCCTAGCAGTTTTCAGGTATACAACACAACAACAGTATAGTTGTGTTAACTGTCATTGCAATAACAGTCACCACACACACAAAAATGACATTGAGCTTTTATTTGTTAATTAGCTTGAATTCATCATTTCACAATATATGCATCTATCAAAACATCATAGTGGACACCATAAATATACACAACAAGAAAAGAATGGAAAGCCATATATACCACAAGCAGTACATGTGACAGTCCTAGAGATTATCGAGGGCAAAGAACTAAAAACGAACGAGTTCAGCAGGAGCTATGACGGCCTGGGGTAATGAAGGAGAGTGGGACGTCCTCGATGAAAGCCCCAAACACAGCAGCAGGTGGAGAAGATGTTGACTTTATTTAGCATTAATTGCAGGAAAGCGTCTATAAAATGTGGTCAAAAATTATTAAACCCCCGATGTTATGCCAACATTATGCCATCCCCTTTTCCAAGGCAGGTGTATTATTCCTAGTCCCTAGGATTAAAGTAAATCATGGCTGTTCCATGTATTCTGAATATTGCATTTCATTATTTTTTACTGCCCTGTTTCTCTGGCTTTTTGTGGCTTAATAGGCTCTGCTATTTTTAAACTCATCATAGGTTCCACGTTGGGGGAGGAAATGTCAGAAAAAAGAATGTCCCTTCAACATTCCCTTTCCACCCTTAAATCTCTATGTGAACATACTCTACCTACATTTCTGGAAATCTCTCAAGTCTAACGTATTTCCAGTGATGGCCACAGATACATCTCTCTCCTCTCACTGGATTTGGGATACTTGCTTAGATTTAAGAGACTTACTTTAAGATACGCACTCATGGTTACCTGGAGAAGCCCAGACTTGCATACTTGATGCCCAAAACATTTTCTAGAAGGAACAAAACTATGCGAATCATTTCTAACAAAAAAGGAGCCTGAGTTTACCCACAAATCCAAAATTAATCTAAGCATACTTTTTGTCTGTGACAGGGTCTCACTCTGCCACCCAGACACACTTTTAAAATCTCAATTAAAAATTAGAACATTCAGCTGGGCATGGTGGCTCACACATGTAATCCCAGCACTTCGGGAGGCTGAGGCGGGCAGATCATCTGAGGTCAGGAGTTCAAGACCAGACTGACCAACACGGAGAAACCTGTTTCTACTAAAAATACAAAGTTAGCCAGGTGTGGTGGCACATGCCTGTAATCCCAGCTATTCGGGAGGCTAAGGCAGGAGAATATCTTGAACCCAGGAGGCAGAAGTTGCGGTGAGCTGAGATCATGCCATTGCACTCCAGACTGGGCAACAAAAGCAAAACTCCATCTCTAAATAAATACATAAATAAATAATTCAAGTAGCATATTGCAGAAGGCTCTCACCATTATCCACTCAAATATTCCTGAAGACTCAGAAATGATGAGATTCTACAGATAGGCTGAGAAAAATAAAACAATGAAAAGCATGCCCCTGAGTCATCTCGTGAAGCCACTGCAAACATTGACATGCCCAACGGTTGGTCAACACCACCCAGGACACAAGAGTCATACCAGCCAGAAAACAGCAGCCTCCCTTATGTGTCCTGATTTGGGAGGCGGCCAAAATACTGTAACCATCAATCTCTTCTCACATCCACTCCCTATTCTCCCCTTTTTCTGTATCTTTTTATCTTTAGTTCCAGAAAAAAAAAGGATAGGCAGTCAAAGAATAACCCGAAAATGTTTCTTCGCTTCCTAGGATGCAGAGTGGCAGGTGGAGAAGCAGAGACAGCAGCACCCCAGAGACAGCACAGCCAGGAAGCAGAGCTGAACGTGCGTGACAGCGACACTTGTTCAAATGCCAATCGCAGCGCAGAGGGTGGGGGAAGAGAACCCACTCTTGCAATCATGCTTTTTCAGTATTTCCTAGTCTTTTTTTTTTCCTTTGTTACCTCCCTCCCAAGAAAACCTTTTAGACTTGTTTTCCCCTCATTGCCTTCCTCTCCGTGAAATTTCACGCCACAGATAAATGGGTATATATGTTTTTACACTTAGTCTCAAAGAACCAAATTTTGTCCACTTGGTAGCATCTCTCTCCCCTCTTGAGAATGCACGTGCCAGCCCCTTAATCCCTGGGAGTCAGGTTATGTGTCTACAATGAATTTGTTTATCCCCCTGTAAGGCAGGGTTTCTCAGTCTTTGCATCATTGATATTAGGGGCAGACAATTCTTTGTTGTAAAAGTGCCGTCCTGTGCGATGGAGGCTGTTGGGCAGCATCTCTGGCCTCTAGGTGCGCATAGCCTTCCTATCTCCCATTCTCCTTTGTAACAACCAAAATTTCTCCAGACCTTGCCAAGTGTCCCCCAACGGGCAAAATGGCCCCCAGCTGACAACTGCTTCTCTAGAGATTAGGAATATAGCAGTGATCAAGGTAGGCAAAGTTTCTGCCTAAGGTTTTGCTACTAAACAGTTGCTT